ATTAAAATTACTGAATAATATACACTTAATGTCTGCTCCCGATGGAAATAGTTTGTTTTGTTTTCCCGAGAGTCTCAATTTCCCAGTTCTAGGTCCTTGAATTTACTGAAAAAGGGCCTTGAAAGTCCTGGAAAAGTCCTTGAATTTCACCTTCACCAAATAGTGGACACCCTGGATACATCTTCCTGAAAAATACGTACAGTTTGAAGTTTTGCTTGTATTGTTCTGGTAGTTGTATCTGTCTCAATCCGTAGCTGTCTTGTTGCTACCTGCACTGACACAAACCGTTCGAGATCATTCAAATACTGCATTTCTAACGCGCCTTTGAACATCAGGATGAATGTCCAATGACTTTTAAAAATAATTATTCTTACATGAATCTTCCAATTCTAGATTACAACCCACATGGAGATAAAACCCACTGGATTCTTGAGCGCCATTGCAAGTTTAACACCATATTCAGATTTCAACCAAAGTCCCAGGAATATGTATCAATGTCAGGTTCGAAACACTTCATTGAAATTGTCATCTACCCAAACGAATATGTAGTCTTGACAAGCCACGACTTAGTGATTATCACTACCAAATTTTAAAAGCTCTAAATCCTTGCTTCTACTTTATTGTATAGATGGGTAAACAAACGATGGGAACACCATGCCATTCGCTTCCATTTCGTGGTGATAATAAGCTCTATCGGATACAGGTCAGTTTAAAAATTCGTGCCCAATTTACATACAAATGATCAAATGGGCATTACAATATAATTGGCATATACCTGTAACTAATTTACATTAAAAATCAACATTGTTACCTTATACATATATAGAAGAATACAATAAAAATAGATTTTAATTTTCTTAATCTACGAGCACAACTTAAAATTATTAGATAATTGAAATATGAGTTTTAAAAGTGTCTATATATATATATATATATATATATATATATATATATATATATATATATATATATATATATATATATATATATATATATATATATATATATATATATATATACGAGTAGGTTTGTGTATACGAAACGCAAAGAGTGCTCAATATCATAAAGATAGAGCAAATGTAGAATTTCGCTTACCTCAAAATTCCGCAACAGTCTGTTTCATCAGTAAAGAATCATCAGGCGGTATCAGATACCGCCTGATGATTCTTTACTGATGAAACAGACTGTTGCGGAATTTTGAGGTAAGCGAAATTATATATATATATATATATATATATATATATATATATATATATATATATATATATATATATATATATATATATATATATATATATATATATATATATATATATATATATATATATATATATATATATATATATATATATACACTGGATCCAGAAAAGTTTGACCTTCGAATATATATATATATGTCGGCCATTTTGAATTTTCTTGGGTTAGTTATACGCGAACGCATACATCAAATGTCGCTCGCAACGTATTGTATATTGCAATATTCCAACAGCTCAAATAAGTAAAGGATCATTGCTTGAAGTTCTTACACATATTTGTAGTAGCTATCTAATGAACATTTGAGGGTTGTTAGCTAATTAACTCTTGTCACAATTTGGAACCTGATCTTTTTGGCATGTCGTAATTTTATTCTTTTGCATCCTTAGAGATTTAGACGCTTATTGGCATGCCTCGATGAATTTCTTTGTTTATTCTTTCGTATTCACTTGTGCTTATTTTATAGCTGTAACCTACGTTCAGAATTATTATATTTTGCCAACGGAAATTTTAACGGAATCGATAGTCATTCGATATTTCATCCCCTGAAACTCAGCACGCGCAGCATTCGTTACCTGGCGAAGCAGGTCACTATGTTCATTTCCAAATGTTCATTTCCTACTAGCCATTATGATTATGTGCAAAGACATCAATCAATTATTCTTTTATTCATTTGAGCTGTTGGAATAATATTGCAATATACAATACGTTGCGAGCGACATTTGATGTATGCGTTCGCGTATAATTAACCCAAGAAAATTCAAAATGGCCGACATATATATATATTCGAAGGTCAAACTTTTCTGGATCAAGTATATATATATATATATATATATATATATATATATATATATATATATATATATATATATATATATATATATATATATATATATATATATATAAAAAATGGTTATCTTTCCCGCGCGTAATGCAAATATATACAAAATTTGCGAACTTTACAGGGCTATATTTTCCCCATTTTACAACAATTCGCAACCAAACTTTGCAATTTTACTCATTTGAAGATGCTCTTTCCAGCTATGGTAATGGATTTCGTTCTTCTTATCCAGATCAAAATTTCGTCTATAGCTGGAAACATTAGGGAATTGTATAGTTTAGGTGCAGCCCAGCTTTATCACCTGATGTCACTTTAGAACTGCGTATGAATCAAGCACATGCAAAGCCTGTGGTACATCGCAGGTTATACGCCGCCAGGTAGACAAGAACGCCACCATGCATGATTTGCTTTTAAGGTTAAAAGCAGAATCTCTTAGACTTTATTTTCAGAATATCAATCATCCCTTGTTTTAGGTGGTTTTTTTTTAGATTTACAGAGGGTTATATACTATCAACAGTTATATAATTATTCCTGTTAAATATTTTTATGCTTTTGTATGAGTTTAGATATTTAAAATGATGTGTGCTTTTCGTGATATTTTTCTGTGCAGACTCCACAATGTCCACTAGTTCGACCCATGGCTCATGATGAGTTTAATGTTGATAATTATCCCCTGGGAACGAACGCCGTTGTGGCTGTTATATCTTATACGGTAAATTCTGCAACACTGGAATACATATAGTTTATTATATTTTACGTAAATTTTATTAGCTTGTCCTATGCATTTGAAAGTTGTACAGTATGGATCAATCTATAAATTCTCAGGCCTATATGCGACCACAATCTAAAGTAATTTCCGATCCAAATCCTTACCATGATCCCAAACTTTTCCCAATCCTTACCATAATCCTAACCCGTATTTTAACACTAAATCCTAACTGTAATCGAAATACTGATCTTGATATATATAACCCTGACCTAAGTCTAATCTTAACCTGACACTAACCTGCAGTTGTGCACTTTTAAGAACCGATTACAATTGCGATATTTGCTGCGATTTCTAGCACGATTTTCTTCTTCTGATGGATGTGAAGGAGGCGATAGCTAGGATATGAATGTTCTGAGTATTATCACAGATGAGGTAAGTACAGATGTGAATCTCCTGTGAAATTGCTGATTGTTTTGTGTCACACGGAATTCTCACTTCCGGCGAGCGCTGGCAAGTGTCGTTCTGAAATTTAATAAGGAAAGAGATAGGAAAACGCTGTTCGAAAGACGAAAAATTGTTTTTTTAAAAAGTCTACGCTACCGACGGCTATTTTTGGAATTAATTCTTCAAGAGTAACGGCAAGCGATCACTTTTATTGATTTCTTTTTATTAAAAGTGTTAATATAACATTTTATTTAGCAAAAGTTTGTTTTTTTCCCTATCTACTTCTTATTAAAATCGTGAAATACACTTGCTGGAAATTTCAGATGCTCGTGTATAAATAACAAAACAGCGAATGATATAAATGCCTCAAAACATAACTCTCGCATAAAAAAAACATGAATACTTCTATAATATGTATAGTTTTATTCCTCTGCATTCTCAAAATTTAATAAAATAGTGAATTAATACAATTTTAAAGTTTATTTAATCCGTGTGACACATTTTCACAGGAGATTCACATCTGTATTACCTCATCTGTGGTATTATATCCTCATCTGAACATTCATAACTCATTCACTTGTTTACATCCACCAGAAGAACAAAATCGCCCCTAAAATCGCAGCAAGAAGTGCAAGTGTAAACCGGCCTTTATATGGAAAGCAACCCATAGTACTTCTTCATCAAACAGAAAATTGCAGTAAATAAGTTTCATTAATAATTAGTCTTTGAATTGTGATTAATTCAAACTGGCCATTGTGATGTCGTTGCAAGGTCTTTGACTTTAACGGAATGTCAAATTTCTGTTTCAGGGTTACGATATGGAGGATGCTATGATATTAAACAAGTCTTCATTTGAGCGAGGCTTTTCTCATGGCACAGTTTACAAAACAGAGGTATATACTAAATACAATATGTGTACATGTACACAGGGGCGTAGGAAGCATCAAAAAGTTGGAGGGCACCGGTTTCGAGGGGCACTTTTGGAATGAAAAGGGCACCTAAAAGTTTTTCCCGGAAATGTTGGCGCAGGGGGTTAAGGAAGGGAAAATAAAGGCAATCATAAATCAAAGGCCACTGAGGGCGACTCACGGATGAGATCAAATG